GCCCACCCTCCAAAATCCCCCTTCCCAAGAGCTCAAAAGTAACAACCCCACAACAAACAATCCAATAACAAATCTAAATTCTAACAACAAGAAGCAAGCAAAATCAAAGAAACAAAAAATCTAATTTCACACAATGTTAGAATCTAGAACATAGGAAAAAAACAAGATTTTAAAAATGAAATTCTCCAAAAAGATCAAATATTTTGTCTTACCTTCAATACCAGAATGAAATATTCCAAAGCCAAGCCAAACTGAGTACTGATTTGCAGGGGTGAGATCGTACACATTCAATATAACTGGTGTCTCATAGCTTCCATCATTTTTAGCTGCATTATTATTATCATCAGGCTTGGAATTTGAGGTGCTTTCTTCTCCCATTTGACTCCTTTTTCTTTTTCTTTTTGAAATTTCTGTAATAAGGGAAATCTGGGATTAGGAAAAAGATTGTCTTTTTGAGTCCATTTTTTTATTTTTTATTTTTTTTTGGTAAAAGCAAATAGCCTTTGATTCTTGATTTGTCTCTCTGGCAAAGAGAAAAAGGTTTGAACTTTGTAAAAATGGAAATCACAAAAAAAGGAAAAAAGACAAGGGTAAATTGGTAAATGAACATACAGTCTGCTGTCTGCTTAGATTGTTGTAATATTTTGTTAGTCTTATGTCATACAAAAACAAAATAAATCATGTGGAGGGTTAGGGTATGTTGGGGTCCCTTCATTATCTATTGTCTAAAATCATTTATGGATAATATATTACTCGATTAATTTTGATTCGCATGTTATATAATTCTTTCTTCTTTCTTTCATATGTAAAGGGTAAAACTTTTCATTCGACTTCTAAATCTGTCTTAATTCAAATATCGAAATACTCTAAAATTTACTGATAAATTTAGAAGGTTACGGTATATTTTACCACAAATGGATAAAACTAAAATATAAAGGGCAAATTTGTCTTTTAGAATTAATGCAATATACGGGTAAGTACAAATATTTTTCTCCTTCTCTGTGAGCATCGAATTAGGGTTTCGAAAAATCGGCCACGGTGACCGGAAATCCCCAAATCAATCTCCGACGCCTTCCAATTTACTGTTGCTCGGCTCATAGCCGCCGTATACTACTCCGATTTAGGTAAAAGCTCGCAACTTTGCCGGATTTTTTACTATTTTCCTCGACAAAATTAGTTTTAAAATTATCTCCGATTGGAAATGTTCTTTTCATGGGTACAATTCTCTAGTTTTTATTTCTGTATTGAGGAAATGGAGTTTTCTTTCGGGTATATAGTACTATAATTTTTAAGTTACAGAGAATTTAGCAGTATTGTATGCTTTGTTTTTTCGAGCCAGCTTGGGCGCACCTAGACCCACGGGAACAGGAGGCTAAAACAACAAATGGGAAATCACCGAGTGTTTTTGTCTTTGCTGGAATTTGAACACAAGACCTCATGTTGCTGCATTGACCACTAGGCCACACGCTTAGCAGTAGTATTATATTAGAAAGGTTCTTCTTTTCTGTATTGTTCAATGGTTAGCAGTAGTATTTTAGAAATGCTTTTATCAGAAATTAGTCGTATCAATCCATGATGTTTTTCTGTTATATGGAGTTCATCTAGGTTGACTTTTCATGGGTGGTTGCTCACACACAATTAGATTAGGCAGGGTTGGGGAGGTAATTTCAATCGTTTTAGTTACGATATGCAGCTGATTTTTTTTTTCGTCGAAACAAACTTGAGTGAGTTTTAGGATTAAAGTCCATACTAAAAGAGCCGCCAGATTTTGGTTTGATGCATTCCAGCGCCAAAAACCAATTCACTTGAGTTTGACCTAAGTTGTGCGGACTCTTCACTTTGATATCGCACCCATGTCGGATTCACTAAAAATACACTACTTTTGGCGAATCCGACACGCATCCGTTGACATTTTTGAAGAGTCCGAGCAACATAGAGTTTGACAAAGGATAGTAATTTCTATGAAGGAATGTTAGATACCTTGTCTGTTCATGCTGTGAATGTTCGTGCAATATGTGTGGTAGACGCGAGCTCGAAGCTTGATTAGGGAATCAAGGGTGGTAGTAACCTGAGATAGGTAGAGAGATGAGCCTATTATCCACCGAGTTTCAAAGCTTGAGACATCAAATTTCTTGATTGTCATAAAAAAAGAGAGAGTTTGCACTCGAAGACCTCTAGCTGAATATGAAATTGATTAGGTGGGACATCTTACTATGTGTGTTGGGCTAGAAGTTTGATTACAGTTTTTGATTGTAGAAATATTCATCAGTTCATCATTATAGATGAAATCCCACATTGTTGGACATATAAAAAGCAAAAAATCGATACCCTTCGGGGTGGCCCAGTGGTTTGGGCTTGGGACTTCCCTGTTGGAGGTCTCAAGTTCGAAACCCCTTGCCAGCGAAAGCAAGGGGTTTGCTTCTGGGTCGAGCTCGTCGCACCGGGCTTGCCTAGTGCGGGTTACCTCTCCTATGTGGTTTGCGAGCTATTGCATAGGAGCGGGGGTTTTACCCTGTGCGCACCCAAAGGGTGGCTGCTGCGGGTTTCCCTTGTCATAAAAAAAAGAGAGAGTTTGCACTCGAAGACCTCTAGCTGAATATGAAATTGATTAGGTGGGACATCTTACTATGTGTGTTGGGCTAGAAGTTTGATTACAGTTTTTTGATTGTAGAAATATTCATCAGTTCATCATTATAGATGAAATCCCACATTGTTGGACATATAAAAAGCAAAAAATCGATACCCTTCGGGGTGGCCCAGTGGTTTGGGCTTGGGACTTCCATGTTGGAGGTCTCAAGTTCGAAACCCCTTGCCAGCGAAGCAAGGGGTTTGCTTCTGGGTCGAGCTCGTCGCACCGGGCTTGCCTAGTGCGGGTTACCTCTCCTATGTGGTTTGCGAGCTATTGCATAGGAGCGGGGGTTTTACCCTGTGCGCACCCAAAGGGTAGCTGCTGCGGGTTTCCCTTGTCATAAAAAAAAAATAAAAAAAATCGATTGTTTTATCCTTAATGTGGAATGAATATTTCTCTATTCTACTAGAGTTAATGTCTGGATGATCTTTAGCGGGAGTATGATATGATTGGGATTATGCAACAGGTCATAACCTCAAGTCTGTTGCATTTATTCTATGTTCAGGTTTATGACTTTCTTGCTTGCGTCTAGTGAAATGTATTTAGTTTCAATTTGTCGCTTTTATTTGGACATATGAAGTTATTTCATTTGTTTGTCTTTTTAGAATCCAGTGTGCAAATCAAAAAAAATCCAGTGTGCTTAGAAAGTTGAATTGTTCCAAAATTCCGCAAGGATCTCTTATAGCAAACTGATGCACACATGATATTATGATTTCGAATGGGATTTTTTGCATTATGTCCAAGGAACTGCTCTTTTCATTTTTAATCTTATTGAAAATTATTCTTTTCATTTTGTAACTACATAAATTGAGTCTAAATAAATGCTGTTAAAAATTAATGAGCTATAGCGATTGGATAAAGACCAAGCCAGCAAGCCATATAGCTTAGTTGTATCCCGCCATAAAAGTAGAGAGGTCAAACTGATATATTCGTTGACTGAAATCTCCTTTGTCTCAGACAGTGATATTGTGATGTTCTTAGTGCTGTTACATAGTCATGTCTAAGTTGTAATGCCTATATTTCCCAGAAAGATGGTTTCAGATGTGTGAATTTTAATGACCTAGGACTTGATAGGTGTTAAGTCTTCCTTCGTCTGTTTCCTTAAGAACTCTGGGATTGTGGAGCATCATCTAGGAGTGTTTGCTTCATCTGCCTAAATGTTTCTTATATTTGTAAACTTGTTCAAGATTCTTTTGGTTGTGTATTTCGGTGATATAATCAAGAATTAAATCTCAGTTAACTATAGTAGTTTGCAAATACTATATTTTCCGTGAATGACTTGGGGATGTGGGTAGGACCGAAGGGATGACTCTGATTGTTTTCAAAAGAAGTTTAGGTTTTATAAGGTTTATGGTCTGTTCCACTGTAAGTTGATGCCAAGAATAGGGTTCTATTACCTTTTTTATTTCTTAAAAAAACTAAATCTCTATGGTGTCGTATACCTATTGACTATTGCACACGGGTTAATTTCCCTGCTAGGTTTGCTTTCTGATGAACGCCATTTACCTACCTACCCCCACCCACCCCCAACCCCGAAAAAAAGTTTATCAGGGTTTTAGAAGTTCAGATATTTGGTTTTCTGTTAACGTATAGACAAAAGAATTTTCCTTTTCTGAATAGTTCATATGGATACTTGGGTATTAAACTAGCTTATTCACGGATTACTGAAAGCAGTTTGGAAAAGAATTATTATCCTGAACAGCTGTTATACCTGCTTGTGTTGTGCTTATGACACAGTTGATTGTGATGACATTAACCTGTCCTAGTAACTAGGTTGAGCAGAAGTCACATTGTTATGTGTGCATGGTTGCAAATTTTTTGTATCTGGATCTTTTTCACCTTACATCTAACCCTTTGATCTTTTCTGATAAAGGCTTGAGAGGATTCATGAAAGATTTGTGCATTTTCGAACTGCCTGCCCATGCTAATGAAGTTCCCTGTTGAATATTCAGGTTTGGATACATTGGCTGCTTTCTTCAGTTCCTTCACATGTCAATTCCCAATAAGTTAACTGGGGACTTTAGCCATTTAAAAGTGGCGATCTCATAAATTGCTATTTCATGGAGGATCAAAACATTTTTGTTGGCCAAGAGTTTCCTGATGTCAAGGCCTTCCGCAACGCAATTAAAGAGGCTGCTATTGCACAACATTTTGAGCTTCGCATAGTAAAAAGTGACCTGATTCGCTACATTGCAAAATGTGCCTCAGAAGGTTGTCCATGGCGTATTCGTGCTATTAAGCTTCCAAATGCTCCTACCTTTACTGTAAGAAGCCTTGAGGGAACACATACTTGCGGGAAAAATGCACAAAATGGACATCATCAGGCTTCTGTTGATTGGATAGTGAACTTCATAGAGGAGCGTTTGCGTGATAACATAAATTACAAGCCAAAAGACATTTTGCATGATATCTATAAACAGTATGGGATAACTATACCATATAAGCAAGCTTGGAGAGCCAAGGAAAGAGGGCTGCAAGCTATATATGGATCTTCCGAAGAAGGGTACTGTCTGTTACCTGCATATTGTGAGCAAATCAAGAAGACAAATCCTGGAAGTCATGCCGAGGTTTTTACAGCTGGTTCAGATAGTCGGTTTCAGAGGTTCTTCATTTCCTTTTATGCTTCTCTTCATGGGTTCCTGAATGGTTGCTTGCCTGTTATTTGTCTTGGTGGTATCCAGCTTAAGAGCAAATACTTAGGTACTTTACTATCAGCAACTTCTTTTGATGGTGATGGTGGAGTGTTTCCGCTTGCTTTTGGTGTTGTCGATGAAGAAAATGATGATAGCTGGATGTGGTTCTTGTTAGAGTTACGCAAAGCTCTAGAGATGAGCACTGAGAAGATACCACCTCTTACTTTTCTGTCTGATGGACAGAAAAGTATTGCAGATGCTGTGAAAAGGAAGTTTCCCTCTTCTTGTCATGCAATATGTATGCAGTACCTGAGTGAAAGCATCAGTAGTGATTTCAAGAACTCAAGGCTTGTGCAACTCCTGTGGAAAGCTGCGTATTCCACGTCCACCAGGGGGTTTAAAGAGAAAATGGCTGAAATTGAGGAGGTTTCTTCAGATGCAGCAGCGTGGCTTCAACAGTATCCTCCTTCACACTGGGCATTAATACATTTTGACGGAACAAGATATGGTCATTTCTCTTCAAACATTTATGAGTTCAATAAATGGATTCTTGAAGCACGTGAGCTTCCTATTATTCAGGTGATTAAACGAATTCACTGTAAGTTAACAGAAGAGTTTGAGCTTCGGCGATCAAGGAGTAGCACATGGAGTTCTACCCTTTCTCCATCTGCTGAGAAACGCATTATGGACGGAAGAACTCATGCTTCTACATATCAAGTGCTAAGGTCAGATGAAGTTGAATTTGAAGTTGTCTCAGCAGAGCGTTCAGACATTGTGAATACAGGTACCCGATCTTGTTCTTGCCGTGATTGGCAGTTGTATAGGATACCATGTTCTCATGCCGTTGCTGCTCTCACATCATATAAAAAGGATGTGTATGCCTTCACAGATAAATATTTCACTGCAGCTAGTTATCGCGAGTGTTATAGTAAAGAGGTACACCCCATCCCTGATAAACTTGAATGGTCTAGAACCCGACTAGTCCGACCACCCAAGTTCCGTCGCCCACCTGGACGACCTGAAAAGAAGCGATTATGTGTGGAAGATCTTAATCGTGAAAAGCATACTGTCCATTGTAGTAAGTGCAATCAAACTGGACATTACAAGACAACCTGTAAAACAGAGGTTGTTCAAAGTACACAACAGTTCTAGATGTATAGCCACCCCAATCCCCTTTATTTTCTTTCAAGTTGAAAAGTTCTCGAGGAAGGTTCAAAACGATGGATAATGGACCCGTCCCTCTACTCTCCGCCACTAAGGTTAGTGCCCTTTCTCGAAGTTTTTCATTATCTTTTTAGGTTCCTTTCTTGGAAATAGAATTAGAAAATATTGTAGAAAGATGTAAAATTAGAGATCTCAACTAGCTTCATATATTGTAAAATAGGGTTTGCTTATTATAACCCAATAAGTCGTATCTCAGTGATTGTGAGGAAATGTGTTTTATACTTTATTTGGTTTCTGTTATCAAAAGCAAATTCTCATAGTTCAAGATTGTCTTCTTCTGTTTTCACTCATACAATTAATTAGAAGAGAAAGAGGTGTAAGTATCCTCTAAAACTTATTCATACTCCGGACTCGAATTTGAGACCTAGTTAACGGTAGAGGAATTCTATTTATCTCACCACAATCTTGATCAGTAATACTCATCACTTTATTCATACTCTGGACTCGAATCTGAGACCCTAGTTAAGGGTAGAGGAATTCTATTTATCTCACCACAATCTTGGTCGGTAATACTATCACTTATGGAGGAAAACATTTCCATATTAAGTTGGTTAAAAAAATTTGGAAAACAAGTTCTTCACCCTCAACCCCACACTCCTGTCCATATGTCTCATATTATTTGTCTAGATTATATATAAATATTTTTAGAATAATATTTTGAATATAAGAAACTAGTAAGAAAATCACTTGTTCTTGAAAAGAAAAACTCAAATTTTCTCAGTTTTGAAAGTCTAAACTGATATAAATAAAAATAATAGTAGTAGTTACTCCATTCCTCTTTAGTTGTCATAGTTTCCTTTTTTAGAGTGTAAACGATATGAATTTTGACGATGTATTTTTTCATCATATTGATATTACATTTATATTACTTTCTGTATAATTTTTTTAATATCTAGGATTTTATTTTAAAATATCAAATAAATATAATCTAATTTAGAATTTGAAAATTAATCAAATTGATTCTCGTAAAGTACAAGAAGGATGAACTAATGGAGTAATAGGCAATAAATTTCTCACAGCTATATTAACTACAATTAATGAAAACCATAAATACAAGTTAATTCACTCAAAACAATAACACCTAACAAAAAAATTTAACGTAACTCCCCCTTCAAGTTATATATATCTTAATGATATTTTATTTTTTATATATCAGTATAATTTAACTCGTTATAACAAAAAAAAGAAATCGCGAGAACATGGAGCCCCTAGCTATTGTTGCTTTCACAGGGGGAATGATTGGACAAATAGGGATTCTTCTTCTTTGGTGTCGACCTATCTACAATTGTGTTCGAAGATTTGTTGATTGTCTTAGAAATCCACAACCTTTACCTCCTCAAGAAGAAATTAATGAAAAGATATTTAACGCTTTAAAAGATCGATTTCATTCATGAAATAGCTCAAAGGTGTGGATTTAGAACAGGTTCTGCAAGTTCAACCTAACTCGTTGCTTTCAGTTTGAATTATGTATACATATTTCAAACAAACAAAAAGATATAATGAGGTTATATTTATTCTACACCCCGACTCCAAATCAATGGTGTACACAAGATTTTTTGTGCAGGTATTATTGACTTATGTCATGATTCGGCTTGTTAAGGAGTTAAATTGTGAAATTATGTTAGATTACACTTTATTTTGTGCAAGTAAAGATTATAATTATGTAATAATCAATAGAAATAGTATCGTGAAATATAATGCAAGTATTTTTTTCTAACGAGTTAAATTGCACTGATAATATAAAATGATAAATCCATAGTGATATTGTATAACAAATGAAGAAGGTTCACTTACACTCTGTTTGGATCATTGTTACTCATTGTTTCATAATGTATTGTATTGTATTGTACTGTACTGTATGATGAATTCAATGTTTGGCTAGACTGTATTGTTTGTTATTGTTTAATAACATTTTAATTGTTTGGTTTGATTGTATCGTATTATATTGTAATTTATAAATTTACTAAAATATCCTTAATTATTCTAGGGTAGGAGATTTGACTAGAATTAAATAATATAAAGTAAAAGGTAAAATAGTATTTTGAAATATTATGTAAAGATATAATTGGAAAAAGAAATTAAGTAACAATGGGAACACACCAAATCGGTTGTTCCATAAAATAGGGGTTTTTATTGTTACGTAACAACGAAATTTAACAATACAATACAATACATTTTTAAGTAACAATCAAAACAAACGTTGTAGGTAAAGTAACGATACAATACTTAGTGTAAGAGAAATTAATTACATTACAAGAATATAAAACACAGTATAATCGATTAACATCCAATTTTATCGAAACATCAACATTACAAGCTACTCTGCATCTATTTTGCTCGAATTCTTAAAAACTGTTATTGTATTCGTATCAAATCATATAAAAATACATAATTTTTGGAGAATCACACACATCAGACAATATTTTTGAAGAATTTGAATAACATAATCAACGACGATGATGATTAATTTGTGCTAACAGCAACAACAAGTCCTTTCATTGCAGCAGAAGCAGCAACACATCGCAAACATACTGCATTTTCAAGATTTATAAAATCACATTAAAAAATATAAAAAAAAATAGAATAAACATGATAATATTTATATAAATTTACTTATATATCTATTAATCAACTACACATCAATCTCAAATTAGTAAACGATTAACTATTTGGGGCGGAGCTATAACTGTCGAACAATCTCAAGTGAAATAATTACCGATTTTCGCTCACAAAACATCAAAAAGAAGAAGTAAAATTCAAGTCCAAACAATAATTTTGACTTCAACTTCAAATATTAAAAAAAAATTAGCAGAAAATGTCCTTGAAAAAATAAAATAATTATGTCAATTCTCATGTAACTCTACTAATTTTTATTTATTTTTCACTAATAAAGTAAAACTAAAAAAAAAAAAAAATAACAAACCAAGCATAGAGGCATCCTTTTTCTTCATGTTGCCTTTGGACATTATCATAATATGACATATTTTGATATTTTGGGGGAGCATCCATTTTCTTTCTTTCTATGTGTGAAAAATATATGAAAAATTGCCTAATAAAAAGAATGTGAAAGTTGATAAAGAATATTAATGGAGTAGAGGTGAATAATTAATGTTGGAGGCTGAAAAAAAAAACAGATGGTAAGTTGTCTAATTAATAGGGTTACTTTGGTCACCTCGATTATTTCATCGGATATAGCAAAATCTTAGTAGACCTTAATTATTTTATCGGGTATTTGTTATTTTTCATTGACACTCATAGTAAGAAACTCTGTCCAACAAGTAGGGGTGAAGCTATAATTAAACATCTTCTGTAGGAAAATTATATTGTTAGTGTTATTGTGACTGAAGAACAGCTAAGTGAATACCCTTCATTGAAAAATTATATAGCGACCGGATGGCTAATTAAACACCCTTCATTAAAATATTATATATGAAATGCCTAGGATTAAGAATATGAATTATTGATTAGAATATTAAAGAACTAGAGGTGAATAATTAATGATGGGGACCTAAAGGAATTAAGAAGATGGTTAGTTGTCTAATTAATAGGGTTATCTCGTGCACCTTAATTATTTCATCGGATATTTATTAAAGTAAACTTTTTTGCAAATCTTCATTATTCTATTGAGTTTTTGTTATTTTTCATTTGACACTCATCGTCAACAAGCAGGATAGAGTTACAACGATCGAAGAGTGGTCAATTGAACAGTCTCTATCAGAAAATTATATTGTTAAAACTATAGCAATTGAAAAATAGCTAATTGAACATCCTTCATTCAAAAAATTATGGTGTATATATTACGATTTTCACTCACTTCATTAATCGTAATGCCCATACCTCTGGTTGCTGTAGTGCTTTCTCAAAAAAATTTAAATTTATTTTTTTGGCATTTATTAATGGGAAGACAACTATGCAAGTGTAGAATACAACTAGACAACAATGGTTCACATGTCTATGTATCCTAACATATTATGACCCTAGCTGGCTTGTGACCTACTCACATTTTCATGTCTTTTTGACATTGTACTATATAGTTTTAAGAGTTAAAAAACCATTTTATCATTATTTTCGCAAACTTCATACATTAACTATCCATTGTTCTCTTTTTACACACTCCGTCACTTCGAGCCAAATATTTATTTCCAATTGACTACAAACATGTGTAGACTAATTCAACATCAAGGTATGTTTTAATACAACAGAAAGTAATAGTTAAACCGGACCAACCTTTGTAGTGTTTGCCTAGGTGCATACGTGTAAGCGGATTCAGGATTTAACGTTTATATATTTTGGACCACAACCTTTTTTTTATTTATTAAGTGTTGAATTGATACAAACAAATACAGAATTTTGGAACAAAACTACTGAGTTATGACTTTTGTCAAACTTGTAACTTCAACAGTAAATCCAGCCATATGCATACATCAATTGCATTAAAAAAAAAAACTGTGATGTAAGTGAGTGTAACCAAACAACAACAATATACCAATTGTAATCCCACATATGGAGTTTGGGGAGAATAGAGTGTACGTAGACCTTACTCCGACCTCGTGGAGGTAGAGATAGAGAGACTGTTTCCGATACTTACCTTTACCTAGTGTAAGTGAGTGCAACCAAATGACTTATCTTTTTAAAAAGCCAAAAGAATAAGTAAATGGTAGTAGCAAGTCACTTAGCACAGCTTTGGGAAATAGTTGAAATGTGAACATGATGCCTTGTGGCATCTCCTATATACATCCATACTCCAAGTCACAAAATCCATACACTAAAGAAACAGGACATGCATGTTTCCTTTTTACTTCTTCACGGAATAAAAACCGCGTGAATGAGAGCTAAAATGGTTCTTTCTATCGATCAAGATCAAATTAGCAAGAAACGAGACAGGTGGGGGGTTTAACCATGCCTGGAATATTAGAAGGAACGGTAACAGGTTCATAATTAGCGGCAATTTCTAGGCGCTCCCATGTCAACCTTCGTCTCTCAGCTGCTACATTTGACTTTGCATTATCTTCTTCAAGCTTGTGTTGGCACTCGAGTACAAGCTCTTCATCCATCTCGGAAAAGACTTTCCTTACGTTTTGACTGAGGTTAAGAACTGCTTTATTCCAGTGGTTCTGGCTGTTCCTTTCTAAAGCTGAGATAATAATTGGCATGATCACATGCCTGTTATGCATCACGAGGTTAAGGACGTTATCGTTGTTCCACAAGAAATGTGCTCTTTCAGCCACCTGCAAGTTCGTTAAAAGAGGGAGAAAGTCTGAATGAGTTCAAGAAAGTCTACATTCGGAAGAAAAAGAAAACAGAAACAAGAATTAACCAGATATTAAAAAAAATTCCAATTTCGCACACCCCTTGGGGTGCAGCCCTTCTATGAACCTTGTGTGAACACGGGATGTCTCATGCACCGGGCTTCCCTTTTTTGTACAAGTGGAACAAACACCCTCCCCACCTTCTCCCACAAGAGAAGGTTAAAAGAAAAACAACTACAACTCAATCATAAACTTTGGTCAGCTATATGAATATTCTATATAAGTATTTTCTACTCTGCTCCATTCGGACCCATTTCATTCCAGTATTCTTTTGGGGAAAAAAAGGGATTATGCATCTTTTATGTCAAAGTTGGGATAACAAAGTAAAATTAGCCTCTTGGGGGTACTTGGAGTTTAGAGCTATGGCAAAGTATAGATGTACTTATTTTGATAACCGTGGTGTGCCCGTGTCAACTTGTGTGTACCTCAACTAATTCTACGGGATACTTGTAACCTCCCACCAACACAAATACCGGGTAACTCTGTCCACCAAGCAATGGACAGATTCCAAAAATCACCCAGTGTGTTTAACTTCATTGGGCTTTGAATCTGAGACCTTGACAACGAATAGATATTAAGATAAACAAGATGCTGAGAAGGCCCTTTCAAGGGCTAGAAGATATCCCACAAAGAAATGAGAGACGTAGCATGTTGATCAAGAGATGATAAATAGGTGGCTTTGTTGTTAACAATAAATCTTCAAGAATTCTACGGATAAGAAATCTATATCTTCAAGAATTTCACGTAATATTGACAAAAGTTTTCAAAGGAAGGGTGCAATAAAATGATAGGTAAGATCTCAAAATCCAACTTCCGAGGTCTTCTTTTTTCCTTCTCCTTTCGCGAAGCCAGCTTCTAACGTTCAACTTAAAGTTAAAACAATCAGTATGGTATACAAAGACACAAAAACTAGTCTACTAATTGTATGAAATGACAAAAAGTTTCATGCTTGGTGACATCCTAAGCTTCACAAACCATTCTAAAGTTGTGGACACAATATTTGAAGTTGAAATTACCATAACCTTAAGCCTGAGCATTGAATTTGCTATTTATCTAACATGCATATGAAATTATTGTCTCCAATTCTGTCGACTGAGACATCACCGAGACCAATTCAATTATGTACCAATGATGGTAGAGAGGTTTCCGACAGACCCTCGACTCAAGGAGAGACCATAACAACTGCATGGAGCTCCCTCTTTATTGTCACCATAATAGTTTGAGAGTTATGCAATCCAAGAGGGTTTTGATTAAAAAATATTACCTGGAAATGGGAGCTGTTAAGGCAATAGCCGATACGACGAAACAGTGGCACCATGATTTTCTCAAACTCTGGAATACTGATCATTTCTAAAATCTCTTCCAACTCACTGATGAACATCAATTGTTTCTGGCTACTTGTCACTGGCCAATATCTCAACAATCTCGTTATCACTATGCTAGCCAGATTTTGTTCCTTTTCTATGAACTGTACAACACAATATGCTAATTGTTGATGATAGATACCCAAGGATTTTGGCTTGTGTAGAGGTAGCAAGGCCCTTGAGAAGAATAATCTATGTTCTTCCTTTAATGGCAAAGCAAAACCACTAATTACACTTCCGAAAACCTCCAGCAACTCTGCAATCCCATTATGTCTTTCAGTCTCAAAAGCGAAACGATAAAAGATATTGCTTACAGCCTTTCGAATAGCAGGTCTGTGCATCATGAACTTCCCATAAAGGCGATGCAATATTGATTTCAAGCATTCTCTTTCTCTTGGGTCCTCAGAATCAAATAGGTCAAGCAGTTTCAATATGAAAGAATGGTCAACGTATTTCTTAGCAACCTTTGCATCAAGAGAACCTTGGCCGATTACGCTAAGGAACAAGTCATAAACAAGTTGTAAATGACACCAAGCTGGATCAAACATTGGTTCTTCATCTTCACTTTCACCGCGAGCTGAGAAATACTTGGGAGGAAAAGTTCTGAACATGTTAACTCCACACATTTTACATACTGCAGCAATTGCTGATTCCGTGAATCTTGCAGATCCTGAAGCAACAAACTCATTCAGCTCCAGCAAAACTTGTCGTTTCAAGTCCTTCTCTGCAGAATCTTTATCTGGATCATTGAAATCATAAATGGTACAGCAGAGATTCAACTTGCTTACAAATAAGCTTTGCTTCTCCGCATTTGAAACATCTTTAAAGGGCACATGTGGTGCCACAGACTCACCACCAGACACAATACTCGCAGGAAAAATTGCTGTCGACATCCGTTTCACTACATTCAGCCTGTTTGCTATGACGGTGCAACTATTGGTAAACTGAATTCCATTCCCTAAGTTTGAGGTGTTGTTGCAGGAATTGCTTCCCGATGAATCAAACGTATCACATTTTGATGATTTCCTAGGAAGTTTTGCAAGAATTTGCTTAAGCATAGTAGCGTTGCTCCAACTTGCAGCTAGACTAAACCTAAGCCAACACTCCAAAATAATCTACCTATGCAAATTTCAAAGAAAAAAGCATAAGAAAACAAACCAGAAGACAACAAAACTTTGAAGAAAATAACATATCTTGTGGCAAACATAACCAGAATGTTTAGAAGACAGCTTTATTATCAGAATTACATATCTTAAATTCACATATCAATTTTTTCATCTAAAAGCTCATTGAAACCAAAATCTCATTCCTAAATCTACAGTTGCATAAATCTCAGATCTGGGACAGAATTTACACA